TGAAAAATGAAAAATTTTTTGATAATGGTACCAATGGGGAGTCAGAACCTATCAGATGCAAAAGGTTTCGTTCCGATCGGTGCATCCAGCTAGGCGTAATAGGCGGGCACACATAGAAAATAAAAATAATAATAATAAAAAAAAAAAAAAAAAAAAAAAAAAAAAAAAAAAAAAAAAAAAAAAAAAAAAAAAAAAAAAAAAAAAAAAAAAAAAAAAAAAAAAAAAAAAAAAAAAAAAAAAAAAAAAAAAAAAAAAAAAAAAAAAAAAAAAAAAAAAAAAAAAAAAAAAAAAAAAAAAAAAAAAAAAAAAAAAAAAAAAAAAAAAAAAAAAAAAAAAAAAAAAAAAAAAAAAAAAAAAAAAAAAAAAAAAAAAAAAAAAAAAAAAAAAAAAAAAAAAAAAAAAAAAAAAAAAAAAAAAAAAAAAAAAAAAAAAAAAAAAAAAAAAAAAAAAAAAAAAAAAAAAAAAAAAAAAAAAAAAAAAAAAAAAAAAAAAAAAAAAAAAAAAAAAAAAAAAAAAAAAAAAAAAAAAAAAAAAAAAAAAAAAAAAAAAAAAAAAAAAAAAAAAAAAAAAAAAAAAAAAAAAAAAAAAAAAAAAAAAAAAAAAAAAAAAAAAAAAAAAAAAAAAAAAAAAAAAAAAAAAAAAAAAAAAAAAAAAAAAAAAAAAAAAAAAAAAAAAAAAAAAAAAAAAAAAAAAAAAAAAAAAAAAAAAAAAAAAAAAAAAAAAAAAAAAAAAAAAAAAAAAAAAAAAAAAAAAAAAAAAAAAAAAAAAAAAAAAAAAAAAAAAAAAAAAAAAAAAAAAAAAAAAAAAAAAAAAAAAAAAAAAAAAAAAAAAAAAAAAAAAAAAAAAAAAAAAAAAAAAAAAAAAAAAAAAAAAAAAAAAAAAAAAAAAAAAAAAAAAAAAAAAAAAAAAAAAAAAAAAAAAAAAAAAAAAAAAAAAAAAAAAAAAAAAAAAAAAAAAAAAAAAAAAAAAAAAAAAAAAAAAAAAAAAAAAAAAAAAAAAAAAAAAAAAAAAAAAAAAAAAAAAAAAAAAAAAAAAAAAAAAAAAAAAAAAAAAAAAAAAAAAAAAAAAAAAAAAAAAAAAAAAAAAAAAAAAAAAAAAAAAAAAAAAAAAAAAAAAAAAAAAAAAAAAAAAAAAAAAAAAAAAAAAAAAAAAAAAAAAAAAAAAAAAAAAAAAAAAAAAAAAAAAAAAAAAAAAAAAAAAAAAAAAAAAAAAAAAAAAAAAAAAAAAAAAAAAAAAAAAAAAAAAAAAAAAAAAAAAAAAAAAAAAAAAAAAAAAAAAAAAAAAAAAAAAAAAAAAAAAAAAAAAAAAAAAAAAAAAAAAAAAAAAAAAAAAAAAAAAAAAAAAAAAAAAAAAAAAAAAAAAAAAAAAAAAAAAAAAAAAAAAAAAAAAAATATACTGATCGAATTGAGTAACCTCCTCCTTTTTCGAAGTCGGTTAAAAACCTTCAGAAATGCTTTCTGAACTGTTTTATAAATCAAATATAAACAGTACCTTCGTCGTATAAGATACATATTATAACGTAAAATGGTCTAATGCAGTAAAAAGAATAAATTCAACACCTAAAACCCTTTGTTTTCAATTCTGAGTAAATTGTGCAATATCGCGAGATTTTTAAGTTTGTCCATAATACGGAGCCCCAAACGGGTATTTGCCATAACCTCATCTTCATTTCAAGCTCCAAAAATGAAACGCATGTTAGGTGTCACCACTCGAATAGTCATGTATTTTATTTTTATTAAATTATTTATAAAACGATTTAGAACCGAATTGTCATATTTAACAAAAGCTAGGTTAGAAGGATAATCAAAGATGTCATAACAGGAGGCACGTAAACAGGGTCCGAAATTGGGGCATCAAAATACATCTGCAACAATCCCAGAGACTCCATAATATGACCCGAAATATCTTTTTTTATTTCATTTAATACATTACTACGATTTAATTTCCTTTCGGCCCGATAATTTAAAAACCACTTTTGTTTATCACCTTTTGCTTAGCTCTTTACGCATGGCGGTATACATTTTGACCTACTTCGTTTGAAGTTGTTTGTATGTTAAATCATTGAAATGGAAACAAATTTCTGAGCAACTTGGATTTTTATTTTCCTTAAAATCGTGTGTCTCAAAGAGTTAAAAATATTCTCTTATAAACAGGAATTGTTCAAATATTGATTTTGCGAATGTAGTTGTACTTTCTGATTAACTCTTTGCATAGTAATTTTGTATAGTAATTTCAAATTAGTATTTTTTAATTAAATCTGAAATATTATATGTGATCTATAAACATGTAGAAATTAATGGTAGAGGAAATTAATGGTAGAGAAAGAATAACGTCAAGAAAAATTATTAAACTTATCAACTAGAATGTTTTAGCAAAAATACAAAAATTGCACCGTGAAGTGTTAATATGTGACTCACAATATGAAACAAACCTTAAAACCTTCATAGCTGGGACTAACTTGATATTTTTAAAAGAACTCAAAATAATTTGAAATAATATTTAAACAGTGTACGTACTAGGATCTCTCGTGATGTGAAATGCACGAAGCGCTGAGGTGAGGACCTGTTCCGTGGTGGCTTGCCGTGGCACCGAGATTACGCGAAATATTTGCCGTCTGTGGGAGTTGTTGCCGTCGTACACCTTGATCATCTCTGCAGGGACAGAACAAAAACCAGTAAGAGGTTGACCGTAAACGGTCAGCCACATGAAACATATTGAAATACCTTCGTCACCTCTTTCTTTATCTTCTTTCTCCTTTCGAGAACGGGGATCGCGACAATAGTTGGCACCCGATCCCGATTCGCCATTATCGCGATACTTCGCGTCCGCGCTGCTGAACTCTTCCGATATGCTTCGTGCTGCAAAAGAAACCGGAAGTCGAGCTTGTAACTTGCGGTCTGCGAGCTTCGTCTTTTCGTCGACTTACAATTAGCACCGTACAACACACCATGGAACTTGGGTGTTATAATGCATCATCGTCATTATATTCTTTCCCTTTTTAACTACCATCGAAAGATGCAAGTATATTAATACGCTTGGCAGTCATTACTCAGATAACATTAATGGTGTATGGTAACGAAAGCATCTAAATAGGCTAAGACACCTTCCAGTCAATTTTTACAGGAATCATTCATTCGAAACATGGAAGTACACTGCGGAAGTAAGACAGTTTCGGATCGAATCTTTAAATGGAGGTAGTATGACATTTGCTATTTACTCAAGTGCTAATGTACGAAATTGGGTCAATTGATACCTGATGATGAGGTTTAGACTGTTAATGGAAGCTTAAGCTTATAAGGGCAGATGTTCGGAAACTTTGGTGTATAATTTTATGATGGTTCATTCGATTACAATGATGAATTTTGGACGAGGGTTTTTAGCTCTCTTTGATCGCGGTGGTTTGTTTGAGGCAAATAAAAGTAATGGGTAATTCATGATTTTGTTGAATAAGAATTTATGAAGAAATAATTTTGAAGGCAATGAATTTGAAAATTGTTAATTAGACATTTAGATACATTGAGGTAGACATAATCAAGGTATGATCATATTCAAATTTGTACAATTCTAATTTTCTAAAATTGTCATAGATGCATGACAATTCTAAATCCAATCATTATTTCCCCATAACAAAAGCCAAGAAAAATATCAAATTCATTAATCAAGTGATCAACGAACAAAAATCATTCGACTTTCTACATACAATAAAAAGCCAAAATAAACTAATCAATCCGATAAAACATCAAAACTTCAAAAAGTCTAAGAAAAAGAACACTTCAAACAAACCATCAACGATCTCAATTATCCAAATATACTCCTACAAATTGATACTGAATTACACTAAAACAATCAAGGATTATTAAACCTTTCAACCGTTCTACAGGGTGCATTGTCTGTGCGATAAAAACTATGATCGATATCCACAACGATGTTAATGAGAAAATAGGAAAATAAAAATGAAAATAAAAGACAAGAGGAGAAAACAGGTGTTACATATATACATATATGTGTATACTGGCGAACAATGCAAATCCACTTGGAACAATTGCAAATATTAAAATATATAAGTGACACCTCTTACCATCGGGCACGATGGGTTTGCAGAGCACACATGATAGGAAGAAGAAGATTTATTCAGTAGCATTCTTGTTGTTCATGATGTGTGCGTGACAAACGTCACGGTGGTTACTCTCATAGCATCCAGCGGGCTGAGTGTGACAGTACATGCACCGAAGCAACACATACAACACATGCTAGAAACGTATACATTAAAACGAAATAACAAACATTCATAGAGACGGTCAAACACGTGACGTGAGCTGCTATCATTTTTTCGTTAATCGTTCGATTGATCCTATCGTAAGCTGAAATGTAAACTGATCGTTGACCTTTCGAGGCCTATTTATTTCTGTATTGCCAATCGATCGAATTTAGTTTGAATCGATGTGCACAGGATCGAAAAAAAAGTTTTAACGAAGGTTATTATTATATAGATTTGGTACGCCATCGATTTTATGTTGATATATTTTATCAAGGTTAATGAGCATTCTTTTTTGTTGTAGACTGTAGACTATTTTAGGAAAATGGCTGCGTATAGGACGCTGTTAGTAGATCCTCGACTGATGAAGATATGGAATTATGAGCTTTGAAATTTTGGAGTTTGGAAATTTGAGGATTTTTGTCACTGGGACATGTGGATCACTTGGGAATTTTCCGTTATGGGATTTAGAGAACAGTGGATTTGGGGATTTGCGAATTTGGAGAATTAAATATTTAGGGATTAGGATGTAGAAATTTGGAGATTTGAGAAGTTGGAGATTTAAGAATTTGGGGATTTGAAAATTTGGAGAGTTATGAATTTGGGGATTTGGTAATTTGGAGAGTTAGGAATTCGAAGACTTGATAATTTGCGGATTTGAAAATTTAGGGATTTGAGAATTTGGAGATTTAAGAATTTGGAGAGTTAGGAATTTAAGGATTTGGGAATTTGAAGATTTGAAAATTTAGGGATTTGAGAATTTGGAGATTTAAGAATTTGGAGAGTTAGGAATTTAAAGATTTGAGAATTTATGGATTTAAGAATTTAGGGATTCGAGAATTTGGAGAGTTGGGAATTTGAAGATTTGAGAATTTGGGAATTTGGGAATTTGAGAATTCGGAAATTTATGGATTTCGTGATTTGAGAATTTGGAAATTTTCCAATTTTGGGATTTAAAAATTTGGAGAGTTAGGAATTTAGGAATCTAGGAATTCGAGAATCTGAAGATTTAGAAATTTGAAAATTTAGGAGTTTGAAAAATTTTAGAAAAATTTAAGAAAAGAAAAACTTCAAATTTTAATACGTGGGATTTTCTAAATTTGCAAATTTAAGCTTTCCAAAATTTAGGAAACTTGAAAATTGAATTTAGAAATTTAGAGATTTCAGAAGTTTCAGATTTGAAAATTTTAGAACTTGAGATCATAGAAATTCGTGAAAATAGTGCTTCGAGAAATTTATACTTTTGAAAGTTTAGAAATGCGGAGATTTGAAAACCAGAATTATAGAATTCAAAGGTTTGTAACTTTGAGTGATATAAGAATTTCTATATAACTATAGATCTTATAAAACATCAGATAAAATAATATTATATAAGTCCGAAAAATGTATATGTATATACAATTTCTAAGTTATGTAATTTGGAACATCCTTTTTTTCATGTTGAAAGTACATAAAATGAAAATTTGATGATTATTTTAAGAGAAATCGAAAGGTCACATATAAATACATGTAAATATGTTAAGGTACACCTATAACACGTAATTTTGCACATTATACGTAAAAATTGTTCAATTGCAGTAAGTTTATTAAATTTTTGATATTCAATCAATCTCTGTTGATGTTATTAATGAATATGAACAGTACTATTAAATGAAGTACATTTAATTGATATGTATGTATAAATAAAGTGATGTATGTAAAAGTTGATATTCCTAAAATGCATTAAAATATGTATATTATACATATTAAATAAATTGTTATATAAAATTTGATTGATATCAGTTTCTGATAAAGATCTTTCTTTATATTTTAATTATGTTATTAATTATATATTCTGACAGTCAAATGTAGTAATGGAAAAACGGAGAAAAATTTATTTTTCATAATAATTAATGTGAAATTAGTTTTTCTACTTGAAATAATTTTTATGAAATGTAACAAAATTATAGTAAACGCAATGGTTGATAGTGAATCATGAAATTGAATCAAAGTTAGTTTAATGTATAAATTTAATGATGAAGTTAAACTTATAAGATGAAAAAATATTGTTTATAACCACCTCTTTTTTACACAATTTAACAGTTTGTGCAGTAATATAATTTCGTTGAAAAATTAAACGAATAATTTTTCTCTAAACATGTATAGGCCAGAAATGAGGTTCTTAATTATAAAATTTTAAACGTCAACAAATGATGTGAATTACGAATAAATATTTGGAGAAATAACTGTACGAGTAACTGTGCAATAATATTAATAGACAGTAGTATTAATTTAATCTATTTCAATAAAATGACTCATTTCTGGCACTGTGATTAGCAATATGAACCTCTCATTTTTATAATGACGTAGAATACAAAAAAATGGAAATAGTACCGAAAATCGTTATAAGCACTAATATTAAATGTCTCAAAGTATGAAATTTTAAAGACAATGTCAAATTATAAAAGTTCAGTAATCGTTTAAGTCGAAATAAATTTATTTTTCCAAGTTGTAAAAGTTTGATAGTCTAAAAACCCACAAAAATTCCTAAAAAGTATTTCAATTTTTATAATGAAAATATTATCACTACTTTATCGTCAGAAGATCAAAAATATTCAAATTTTGGGGAACATTTACGACATTTTAAATATAATAGGTTCATGTGATCGAAGCAAGCGCATCAATTGCAGTGCTTTACCAATGAGGTAAAATTATAAATTAAAGTAGTTAAAATTAAGAACAGAAAGCAGCATCTTGAAACATATTCTTCTTTTATCAAGTGAGTTGTTAATCTTTTCGGTACGGTATTTTCAAAAATATTTTGTTACATATTGCATTTTATGTGAAAAAATGTTGGAGATACAAAGCTTAATATTTTCACTCAAAATTATCTTCTTTAATATTAGATATTAGATATTAGTTATTCAACGTTAAATAGTAGTTATTTTTGGACATTGTAAATATTAAAAATTGTCGAATATTTTATATTAAGATAGGAACTGTTATATGTTTATATAATATGACTATTTTATGTTCATATAGTAGTTTCAAGTTATGGAAGAATAAAATATATCTTGAGTTTAAAGAAAATAGTTTTGTACCTACTATGTAAGTTGCAGATGCTATTCATAATTGACACTGTAAATGTTATATTATAATAATTTTAACAAACAACACTGTAGGTATTATTTTCAATTAATAATATTTAAACTTAAAAATTCTTATGAAGATACTAAGCTTCATACCTCAAAAACGAGATTAAAAGTACAAAGTGGAGTTTACAAAAAATATAACCTAAAATTTACAATAATATAAAATCTATGAAACGACTTTTTATCTTCAATAAAAATTTACAGAATATAATTTAGAGTACACACTCTCTAATAGATTATATTAAAAATTATGATATATGAAATTTTCGATATTTTGCACGTTAATACAAAAATCTACTTTTAATCTCCAAAAGTCGATACCGAAAGTCGCAAAAGAAGCATCAATCCAGACACACCTTTCTTCGACAATAAAAGAAAAATTAAAAAAGGTATAAAGCGAAGGAGCGAAAAAAAATGGCAGTCGCGAGGAAAAGTAGAGAAGCACGAGTGAAGTATGAATAAATGAAAAAAGTATAATAGAAATAGAGAAAACAGAGACAGAGATAGAAGCTGAATATGCAAAGAACAATTATTAATCGCTATGGCAAGTCTCGTTCGGTCCGGTTCCGGTCCACGCTAACATCTCAACATCGATTTTTATGCTCACACAGATGAATGTCAGATGATGGTAATATTCTAGATACCTCGAACATAAGGAGGGGAAGCATGACAATTTCCATGGCAGCTACGTGGCAAAACTAGTGAAAGGCGCCTCAAAGCTTCGGCTAGGCGGCCTGCAGCCCCAATTTGTTCACTCTCAGCGAAATCGAATTGCTCTCCGGTGTTATCTTCAAATAGAAGCAAACGGTAGACCGGATTTTTTTATCACCATTAGATTTCTCTCTGATCTTTACATAATTTCCTCCCTTTCCCGACTTTTTATTATACAACACACACAATCGGCCGGTGTCTGCGATTCGGGACCGGTAGAGACCCTCTAATCGGCCATTTTGATTCACGCTGCCATTTTGTCAGCGTACCGCGAAAGGCGATTCGTGGATAATGGTACACTTTAATTGAGTTGCATGAACGTTTTATGTTGATGAAGTATAATTTAATGTACTTTTTTAACTGGAACACATAAACCTTTTAAAGGGAAAAATTATAAATATTAATGTGTTAAAACTTTTTACTGTTTGCACAGTACGACTTTATGTCTGTCGTGACTTAAGAATAAAGTTCCTTGAAAAAGTTGCTGTTCTTTTTCTGTATAAAAAATATGGAGAGCGAATAAGATATTTTGACAATGGTAATATGTAATGTTTAAAATGATGAATAAAAATTTATTGTTTATGCAATTTGTATTCATCAGTTAAGGTATAGCATTTTTTACTAAATAAATTCAGTGGTATAAATTTTGATGACAAGTAACGTTATTGTCTTAACATTATTGACTTATTTTCAGACATTGATTAGAATTAGAGGGTCTCTAAGGACCGATGCACACCAGCGACTTCCGTCGTTGCGATTTTACACCTACTAAATAGGGTTGATCAAGTTTTTATTGTGGGATTGTAGGATTCGTTAAGTTTAAACTTTTGGGTGCAGATGAAAAATGATATCGCACCCTTTAAAAGTTATGAAATCTTAAAAATCTTAATTTATATGATAAAACTAAATTTGTTAATTATTCTGTATTATAAAATAAAGTTGATTTGTGGGTATCAAATATATGTAATAAGATATAAACACAACGTTTTGCATTATAAAATAAAATTGCTTTCGTTGATATCAAATAAAACATATTCGTAATATTTAATACTACATTTGTAAAACATAATATAAAACTTTATAATGCAAAACAAAACTGGTACTCTTAAATAAATTATTTCGTTACACTTATTGATATTGCTTTGTTATTTACAGTGCATAAATAATTCATGTAAACTTAATTATTTTTATACACCGTTACACTTAATTATATTGAATTATGGGATCAAAATGTCCATATGTCAACTATTAACAAATTTTAAATTGCATAAAAAACAAAATTGAAAGTTATAGCATTTTTATATGTATTTCACTTCTTGGCCCCGAGAAGAGGACTTCTGGATTCGCCCTTGATATTTCTAACAAGGTAAATATCTTAATAAAAATTGCCCTCATATAATATTTTTATATTATTATTATCTATATTAATAATACTATATATTATTATATTATTTTCCAAAAATATTATATAATTTCTCAATTTAAGCTCTCAGGTTAATACTTTACATTATCCAAAATTGTTTTTTAAATTTTTTTCCTTCAATTTATTATTTTGATTATTAGTTACCTTAATGATAGCCAAGATTTTGAGTATACAATGTTTTTGGATGTAGGATGTTAAAAAATATTTCTAAATTATTGTCAATAAAATTGTAGTAAAATTGTTTATAAATTATAAAGAATCATAAATCTATATTATGTGTATAGAATCAGAAATTGCTAAATGTAATATTAAATTGTTTATTAACCCTTCTTTGCATTTTATTACACGTTTCATAAAATAACATGTTATGAAACTTAACTATATTTAAGTTTCATAACTTAAATATATCGTATACATTTAATAATCAATAAAATTATCGAATATTTGTTTATAATTAATTTTCTGTAAAACCTTCCTAGAATTCACACACAATTTTGCAAATTAACAATATTTTATAATTTCTGCCTAAATAAATTCTATGAAATAAATAATAATGTTTATATTTTTTATATTTACGAAAGTACTTTGTATTGTTAAAGAATGTATCTTCTTTCAAAACTGAAGACTCATGCAACAAAGGGTTGAAGAAAGTATAAAATTATCCCGGGATATGAATAAAAAAAAACATGGAACGAAATCGCAACGAGAAAAGTCGCTCATTTGCACCGAGTTTTAACCTCCTGAGGGATGAATATGTAACATTCATTGTGAGACCAGGAAGCGAGGTATTATCATTATTTCACGCTATAAATATTAACCTATCTGTGCTTCGTATTTAATAATCTATTTATCATATTAATATACAACTGGTTTTTATAAAGCTGAAAATTTTCTTAAAATTTACGCGGAAATTAGTAAGTTGAAGATTATTATAATTCGACAAGTTTTATCTCTTTAAAAAATGTAACTTAATAAGGTTAAATTAACTAGATTTAAAAAGTCTATAGTTTTAAAGAATAAAAAAACTAATATAGTTTTAAAGATTAGAAAAAATGAATATAATTTTAAACATTGAAAACAATAAGTTTTTGAAATTAAAAAAATTAATATAGCATGTACTCCCTTTTAGTATAATTTTGAATACTATCTTTTCGTATATGTATATGCAATTTACGGATAATAGTTTTCGCAAAGTCTATAATTGCCAAGACCAGCAAAAACATTCAGAAAACCAAACAATTTATATGTGTAACATTATATCCTACATTATTTTATAATTTGTTGAAAAATTACAATTGTTCTTTTTTCATTTCTTGTTTTAACATATTCTATGTTCCATTTGATCTTCTAACTATAATTTAGAATACATGTATATACAATGTATATTTAAGGACAGAGAATATTGCAAAATATTGTGCAATATCTGAAAAGTATAATGTGGTAATATGTGACCATTCAATCCAGGTTAATTATTCATGAAGGGAATACATACACTCGGAACACACAGCTTAATTACATTTTTCACATACAGTGTTTCACATTGAAGGTGTAAAGTGTCTCATATTAATTCACATAAAAGATTACATATAATTAAAACACAGTGATATACATAAAACTATTCTATCTTTATTACTACATACGTAATGTAGTCTAACGGTATACAATTTTGCAAAATAGGAATCAGAGAATTGTAAATATACATGCATGTAAGTAATATCACAATGATAATTATTTATTACATATAAATACATTTAATTTTTATTTATTCTTTACTATTTCTCTAATTGTAAATCTATGACAATTAACATAAACTGACTTTACTAACTTTTCAATTTATTCTGCACATTTTTCACTTTATTTTTTAATGAATGTCTTTTTCATTTCAAGTTTATTTCTAATTATTTTTTATTTCTAGTGTCATGTGACTGTTTATTTCTATATATAATTTATATATTTTAGTTGTTTTATCTGTATTGCACTTTTAGTTATAATTTATACGAGATCATACAGTCATTTGTTTTAATCCCATAGAAATGAATGAATTTTCATCTTTCTACAGGGGTTTGTCTTTTTAAATTGATTCGAAACACGTAAATAATTGAAATGATATAATAAATAAGGAATATTTAAACACAACTGACTCCTAACATTTTAATTTAGGTAATTTTCTAGTATTATAAATAAACAACTTTTGATATGAGCTTTCTTAATTATCCATAACTTTTTCACAAAATGTTGTATTATAGGTTATGTTCAAATAATATAAGCGAAATTATTATTTTCGTTACAAAGTTGCAATATTTATACATATAGTGTAATTTTTAAACAAAGTTAGGAATATGGTAGATTTACAATGTAAGCCTCTGTATATACAGAATTTAACAATATTTTGTTATAACCTAAAGAATTATTTATACATATAGACATTTCTTTAGAATAATAACCTATACACTGCACCTCTATTTTTTAAATAACCTTGATTTTTTCTTAAAATTCAAATAAGTCTACAGTGGATCCATAAGGTATTTGTACAGTTAGTTGTTTGCAATGACTCTCGTGTATTCATCAATTTGAAACATATCGTAAATTTATCTTTTAGTTATTTAAGTTTCATATTTACTCTTTTTGCATGTATGCAAAAAGAATTGTCAAGTACACAAATAAAATTCTTAAATGCTATTTTTTGAAATTACGTTTAAATCAGAAAAGGAAGCACATTTTGTGCCAGCATCCCTCAAGAGGTTAATCGTACACGCGTGAAGTTTGCGTTTCTCGACTCAATTTAAAATCTTGTTAACTTTGGTCGTTTCTTTCCTCTCCTGTGCCTTTTGTGTCACTGGTATTTGAAATTAATTTAAATTAACTTAATAGATAAAATTAAAGGAAAGAATAAGAATTTGGAAAAAATATTTTATATTTTATTTAGTTTCGTACTATTTACAGCAGATTATTCGGACGAACTTTCTGGGCTTGCGTTGATTGTTTAAAACGTGGAAAATGTTGTGCAGTACTTGCTTTTCGATTCAATTAATCCCAATTGTTTATAATTAATTAATTACTGCAGAAAAGAGATATCGATTTTATAATGACCTTCAACTCGATCGGTAAACGTGAAATTGGAGTGTTGTTAAATCGCAAACACTTGGTTCGATACATAAAACACAATGGATTCCATCTTAATTATTACTCGTTATCTTTGTACACGATATTAAAAAAAAACCTCTTCTAAAAAAAAAATTATATCAACAAAATCGAACAAAAATTTGAAAACGTTATTCGTTTATTAATCACTGGCAAATTAATTAAATGCATTTATTTATTTAAACTCATAACAAAAATTTTATTTGGAATGTTTACAAATCTGCGGTTATTTCTGCAATAAATTATTTCATGAAAAGTTCTCTTTTTATGTTGTATGCATTTTCTCTAGCTGTTCAGCGACTCGTGTAATTCGAAAGCAAACGATAAATTTATATAATAATCGTAAATGTAACACGCCTATTGAAAGCACATCGAGAATAGCGATTAATAACAGCGACAGCCACAGAAGCTATAATGTTTACAAATGTATGCAAACTAGTCTTTTTAAATGTAAAACTTGTTTCTCAAATTTCAAGGAACTTAAAACAAGTCGTTTATCAACATGATTAAATTTCTGATCTATGAAAAATTTATTGAAACTACAGATGAGATTTATTCATAAAATTATTGCATGAAGTAAAATATAAAAGCAATAGAATCAAAATAATTGTTATAAAACCTGTAAACATTTACTAGTTTATAATATACATAACATATTATAATTTATTATGTAATTACAATTTATAATATACATAATATATTATGATTTATTATAATTTTATTTTTTGGCTCAGCTTGATTATAAGCAGTAAAGAATAAAAAATATTTAAATTATTCAAAAACTATTTTTACTCTCTAAAACCTCGGTACTGCATTAATAATCTTTTCTTATAAAAATAAATTCGTATGAAAATTTCCTTATACTGTATATTTGTTTATTTTATTACTGTGTTTAGATATTCAACTAATTTATCTTAATCCTTTCAGAGCTAATGACTAAATAACAGCTTCTATTCACAGAATATGAATCAAATTTTCAGCTTTAAACCTCAATGTTTGAAAAGGAAATAGGTTACAAAATGTCGAAGTTATTCGTCAGTTTTGAAATCTCATTTGCTGTATATCGATTGATGGCCGCCATTGTGGAGAACTAGGTCGCTCGAAATCGAAAATTCCTTTTGATTCAGAAATAAAAATATATTATATAAAATACGATGAATCAAGCATTTCAAGCATTTCAATTACTATGATAATGATAGTTCTAAAAGAAGTAATTTCTTTTCATGAAAAGAACTCCAAAGACTTTGTAATATTAGAAAAAACTTAATTATTAGAATTTTTAAGTTGCTAGATAGTAAAAGAGTCAAAAAGATATTAAAAAGTATTAAATCATTAAATTATTAAATATAGGAATATCTTTTAAATATTACGATATACTATAAAAGTATTTTTAAAATATTGTGAAGCTTTTATGTGTACTTAAAAAAGATATTAAATTTCTATATGCCAATTTCAATATATTTATGTATACGCTTCCCTTGTTTATTACTATTTATAATAAATAAAATTTTCATAACAATTTATCATTTTTACAAAAAAGGTATTTGTTGCAAAAATGAACTATTTTCTTTTGTAAAAATGTTAGCAAAAGTTTCACAAACTGTTATATTCTACGATTTGTTTAATTATAAATATTGTAAAACAGAAATAAAATCTTTTGCAAATCTAAATTTTAACGAAACGATTTCTTCTAAATTTATAACTCGGAATTTTAAAATGTTTCATTTTTCACCGAGAACTGAAAATTTGTTAACAACCAATTTTTAATTTCTGTGCGTGGAAAGCTGAGAGTGCGAGAAACTGGAAGACAGTTATGATAGTTACATAATACACGTACATAATGATTACTACGTAGAGAATAAGTGTCTGATAGAAAATTGGATAAATTCTCTTTGTAAAAGACTCGAGTTAAACGTGTGAGAGACTCTTATCACAGACTGAATGTGACAGAAACAAAGATTTGATAGTTGGAAATACGAATGGGATTTTCTCATTTTTATTCAACAGATCGAACATCGCATGCTCTGTAGGAAGAAACACGTATATCGTAAAAATTCGACTATCCTTAGACACCCGTATAAATGTCATGCAAAAATATTTATACCTAAAAACACAATGGGTAATATCTATTATACATTTCGTTCTCTTCTTATCTATACAGGGTTTATCTCGTTTACACAGTTTTATTTTTGTTTAGGGTGTCGTATAATATGATCGCTCATTTTTGTTGCTTTTGACGATAAAAAATTAATTGTATGATTTTTTAGAGTACATATTTAAATATGTGTTAAAAATTAATTTTTCAAATTGTGACAGTTCAATTTAATTTGATTTAGAATCTAATTTAAAAATATCAGTTTTAAACTGTTTGTAGTACCAATATTTAGTGTAACACGTTTACAACAATAATTATTAACGGTAACACAATAGACTATTGTTATATTGCCAATATAAGTGTGGACTTTTTTTCAAATTGACAATTTGGATCGGTTAAATAATTTTCTGTTTTAACATTGATATTTGTATGTAAATGAGAATTTAGTGTATTAACTTTTTTCGTATTTTTATTATAATGAAACTATCTATTGTAACAAACTGTAATTATGATAAATAAATATATACGAAAACAATATTCTTTACGTGTCCTTATAGAGGGAACTTTTGATTTTTAGTATATTTCTTTTTTCAAGCTTTTTTGGGATAGTTAAAAAATTTTGAAATTTTGAAATTTTCAAAGTTATAAAATGTTAAATTCTTTAATTTTTACTGTTACAAATTTACTAATTTAGAGATTTGATAGTTTGACAATTTAAAAATCAAATACAAAGGAAACTCTACCAAATTTAGAAATTTGGTGATGTGAAAATTTGGAAATTTTAAATTTTTTAATTTTCATTAAATTCCATTAAATTTCGAATTCGCAAAATTTGCAAGTTTCACATTAAAAAGGTTAATAACTTACACATTAATTTGACAAATTTGTAATTTGTTAATTTTGTGATTTGCTAATTTTGCAATTTGATAATTTTGTAATTTGATAATTTTGTAATTTGATAATTTTGTAATTTGATAATCTTGTAATTTGATGATTTTGTAATTTGATAATTTGAAAATTTAACATTTTGACAATTTGACAATTTGACAATTTGAAAATTTAGCAATTTAATAACATAAAATCTAAAAAATCAAAAAAGTGCATATTACATGTATATACAATTTCAAATTTCCAAGCTCCCAAATTTTGCAATTCAGAAATTTGAAATAACGTGAACTTGAAAATTTGAGTCTGTGAACCTTCTTTCAAAAACTTTAAAGCTAAAATTAAAATTTTGAAATATTGATAATCAACAGATGTACGTATAAATCATACATTTGTAATCATCATTCCCTCTTGTAACGAATAATCTATTCAAATATAAATAATATTTATATTACATACAATACATAATATTTTGATATCATCAGAAATAATGAATATCTGAGTGATCATATTAAATAAAACACCCTAAATAAAATAATAAATATTATCACGAGAATTGTACTATGTAGCAATTTCCTTCCCCAAACTTCAGAATTTCGACAAAAGTTTATCTGTTCTCTTTGTCAAACACATATGCACGTGTAATGTAATGTAACATAAAATAAATTGTTGACGAGAGAAAGGAAACATAATAAATAAAACAGCGTGAGATCGAGGGAAAACAAAATTATATTTCGTACATAAGAAACACGTGTAACGTGAATTCTATCCTAAATTTATTTCGACATACTAAACACGATTTGGATGTATGTACCGAGATACAAATGTGATCTTTCAATGATACTATTATTCGATTCATATATTCAAATTTGCAATATAAGCTCTCATAAGGAACTCGGTATATGAAGAACGATCGACCGTGAAATTAGAAGCACTCTAATCGAGCCATTATTTGTTATCTGAGTGTAATGTGCTACATCCCACGATTTCAAGAAATGCTAATAAAAAAATCATACATAAAAAACAATTTTAAAAAAATCCCAAAAAAAAAGAATTAAAATTCTTTGCGATGGCTGACGAGATACAAATACGTATATACAAGATATGTACACAAAATGAAATTTTCTTTCAGTTTTCTTCTCGTGTTACGTCTGATACATTTTAAAGCTGTCATCTAAATTTCTCTCTTTCTAAAATCAACTCTAAATTAACCGATGTATTTAGGTATAGAGATGTATTTACAGTACACGTATATTATTGTATATATAACATAACTTCATTCCACTACTTCCGTATATCCGGTCACGTGTTACACATTCTCTAATCGATTCATGAAACGTATACTTGTTACAATAGAAGACACTTACGGCAGGAATACTCACGCGCCAGAACTTCTTTTCGACGTACTTGTACACCGATTATGGCCTCCATGGGAACCTCTGTTCGTGGAATACTGACTGCGTGCGGTGGTAAGTAGATCGGCTTCAAAATCCCAAACGTGCATACTTGCGGGATATTTTTGTAACAGTAAGAGTGCAACTGGAACAGAATAATAGTTACACGGTATATTAATTATGGTAGATACTATTAATTATTAGTAGATACGATGTACAATTATGGGCACCGCGAAGGATTAATATACGGATGACAATACATGAAACGCGTTATCGATTCAAAGTAAAAGAAGCTCGATCCCTAAAGTAAACACTTCCAGTTACATTTCGGCAAATAAGAATAATAATGACAATTGTAGCGTCGAAAATATGTGTGAGTTTAGGAGTCCATTTTTCTATTTTGACCAATTGGAGGCGTAGAGGTATTTGGGGACGCAGCGATTTGGGAATGTAGGGATTTGGCAATGCAGGGATTTGGGGATATAGCGATTTGGGGATGTAACGATTTGGGTATATACCGTTTTGGGGATGTAGGAATTCGGGGATGTAGCAATTTGAGAACGTAGGAATTCGGGAATATAGGGATTTGGGGATGCAGCGATTTGGGAAAGTAGGGATTTGGAGATATACCGATTTGAGGATGTAGGAATTAGGAGATATAGCGATTTGGGTGTGTAAGAATTTGGGAGTATAGGGATTTGGGAATGTAGGGATTCGGCAATGCAGAAATTTGAGGATGCAGCAATTTGGGGATGTAACAATTTGGGTATATACCGATTTGGAGATGTAGGAATTCGGGGATATAGCGATTTGGTTGTGTAAGAATTTGGGAATGGCGGAATTTGGGAATGAAGGTACTCGGGAATGTAGGGATTTGGAGATATACGAATTTTAAATTAAAGGATTTGAAAATGTAAAAACTTGAGAAATTCGTCGTTTAGAAATTTGAAAGTTTGTAATTTAGGAATTTTAGAAATGTGGAACATTTGGAGATTGTAATTCGGAATTTTTTTCAAATTTCAAAAGCGCAAAATTTCTTAATTTGCAAGTTTTCATATCGATAAATTATCACTATCCATGTATTGACAATACATACTATATTTTCAGCTTTGAACATTTTAAATTGTTCAAAGTCTCGAACTGAAACTTAGTTTGTAGTATAAAAAATATTTTGCATGATTCAGTAAATTCTTCCTTGAAAACTGAACTTGTTCAACTAACAATTGTGTATTTATATAACGTTGAACCTAATAATTGACTCGTAACATTTAAAATAAAAGTTAATTGCACCACCCATGCGATTTAATCATGAGCATAACCCCGTATTTCAAGGTGAAGTTTTAAAATAACACGATAAATAATCTACTTTTATTTATTTATAACAAAACACAAAAGAGTCGCTTGTCTGGAAACTTTCGTGCGTTGCGTTGTGGTACTGTTCAAACTCTATAACTCGAAAACCTTTGTAAGACTAAAATTCTGTTCAGTCTTGCTGCGAAAATCTTTATAAGTCGAAGTGAAACTCTATCTCGAATAATTCGCCACATGTGCAACTGCATTATTTTGACTCTGCATCTCGAATTTAGAGTAGCTAGATCTCTGCAAATCGAAGTTTAACTTTGTAAACCGATTCTATAACGTTGCTATTTTTATAACTTGTAGTGCATAGTTATAGAGTAGATGTACTAATTACAGAGACTCTGCAAATTATCGATAAAAAGAATACATGTATAAATAAGTATAAACAATATATTTAAATTAAATGTAATTATTGACGAATGAGATTCAAAATAAGAAACAATTTTAATGTGTTACAATGTTGCAGATATTTATCAAAGACTACATATTAATCTTTCCATGATTTTGATAGTACTCATCTGAAACCTTCAGAAATGCTTTCTGAACTGTTTTATAAATCAAATATAAACAGTACCTTCGTCGTATAAGATACATATTATAACGTAAAATGGTCTAATGCAGTAAAAAGAATAAATTCAACACCTAAAACCCTTTGTTTTCAATTCTGAGTAAATTGTGCAATATCGCGAGATTTTTAAGTTTGTCCATAATACGGAGCCCCAAACGGGTATTTGCCATAACCTCATCTTCATTTTAAGCTCCAAAAATGAAACGCATGTTAGGTGTCACCACTCAAATAGTCATGTATTTTATTTTTATTAAATTATTTATAAAACGATTTAGAACCAAATTGTCATATTTCACAGAACCGAATTGTCATATTTAACAAAAGCTAGGTTAGAAGGATAATCAAAGATGTCATAACAGGAGGCACGTAAACAGGGTCCGAAATTGGGGCATCAAAATACATCTGCAACAATCCCAGAGACTCCATAATATGACCCGAAATATCTTTTTTTTATTTCGTTTAATACATTACGACGATTCAATTTCCTTTCGGCTAGATAATTTAAAAACCACTTTTGTTTATCGCCTTTTGTTTAGCTCTTTACGCATGGCGGTATACATTTTGACCTACTTCATTTGAAGTTGTTTGTAAGTTAAATTACTGAAATGGAAAAAAATTTCTGAGCAACTTGAATTTTTATTTTCTTTAAAATCGTGTATCTCAAAAAGTTAATATTCCCTTATAAAAAGGAACTGTTCAAATATTGATTTTGTGAATGTAGCTGTACTTTCTGATTAACTGATTAATATATCGTAATTGAAATGTGTATTTTATATCACATACCATAATTGAAACACGTACCCCATATCACATATGTATATCACATATTAATTGAAAGATATGTCCTATATCACAACATACTAAACATCATTCCATATTTTCTTTCTTTTGACTACTAATTCACTTTGTTAATATAAAAAAGAAAATTTGTCTCAATATAATGTTAAGACATGAGATATAGAAAATTATTATCCATAGTACAAAGCTCCTCTAACGAACTTCGACTTGTCCAATCGTTTTTACTCGCAATTCTTGATGGAATCAAAAGTTCTATAATTCGAAGCTTCTTTTCTCTGAGATTCGATTTACGGATATCCGAATGTAAATAGTTCAAAAAAAGTGATACGTTACCGTCATGCCGCACCACTCGCAACGAAACCCGGAAAGGCACTCGGCAGTGAAACAGTTTTTCTTGCAGACAGCGCATTTCGAACTGCTGGGAAGATTGCCTTCTCGCCAGTGATGAGTGTGTTTTACCTGCGCCAAGTCCTTTCCAGGTAAATACGTGGCGTTCTCCTTGCAATCCGCCAAGGCAAAGTTCTGGCAATCCGTGTGCACGAAGTACATGCATACTGTAATCAAACACGAGATTCATTAACACGCTGTTGACCGGCTATGAATCAACCTAACCATTTTACAAATTCCTTATCTTACAAAACTATCAAATTTGTATACGCTTGAAGAAGTTTATCGAATTTCGGATTTTCAAAATTTTTGAATTTTCAAATTCTCAAGGTGTGAAATTCTAAAATTTCCAAATTCCACAACTCTCGAATTAAAGAATTCTCAAATTCCATAACTCGCAAATTCTAAAATTCTCAAATTCCATAATTCTCAAATTCCAAAATTCTCAAATTCCAAAATTCTTAAGTTCCATAACTCTCAAATTTTTAAATTCTCAAATTCCATAACTTTCAAATTTCAAAATTCTCAAATTCCATGACTCTCAAATTCCATGACTCTCAAATTCCATAACTCTCAAATTCCATAATTCTCAAATTCCAAAATTTCCCCAATACCCAAATCCATAAATTGTTAGAATTTCCACTTTCCACATTCGCACATTTTCAAATCTTCAAATATCGAAATTTAGCATAATAAATATTTAAAGCCGATTTTTCAAACAACAAAGTATCAAATGAAAAGATCGTATTATTATTTTCGACTGATTTTTTCAAGCAGAATCGGTCACTTAAAATTCTCAAGTTCCATAACTCTCAAATTTTTAAATTCTCAAATTCCATAACTCTCAAATTTCAAAATTCTCAAATTCCATAACTCTCAAATTCCATGACTCTTAAATTCCATGACTCTCAAATTCCATAACTCTCAAATTCCAAGATTCTCAAATTCCCAAATTTCCCCAATACCCAAATCCATAAATTGTTAGAATTTCCACTTTCCACATTCGCACATTTTCAAATCTTCAAATATCGAAATTTAGCATAATAAATATTTAAAGCCGATTTTTCAAACAACAAAGTATCAAATGAAAAGATCGTATTATTATTTTCGACTGATTTTTTCAAGCAGAATCGGTCACTAGCCTGTTATATCACCAGACATAAATGTTCCAGACATAGACACAGAGAACTATAAATGTTCCGAGTACCGTCAGCTATGTTGAGAATACATCTATGAATGAACACAAGCAATGATGAAACGAAAATGATTGTTGGTATTTTTGTGAAACTTGTATGAAAGTATAAGTGAAATTTTTCTTATTTCCATGAGATTAAACATGACATAGAATTATATGGACAATTTTTATATTCACAGTTCATTCGCTAGTATTATATGTTATAGAAGAAGATGTATTTGTTCATTATAATAAAACACATAATAAATTACTTTTCTTGATATCTTTTGTTACAGATTAAGTCTTGTGGTATATTGAGTCTGGAGTGAAATTTTGTGGCATATTAAGTCTTTTGTTAGAAAATACTAGTACAAATCTATGAATTGTCTAATTTTTAAGTTTCCAAAGCACCATATTCAAAATTTGCAAAATTTCATATCCATGAATTTCCAAATTTCTAAAACTTTGAATTCTCAAATTTTCCAACTTTCCGAAAGTCTAAATTTATAAATCTTCAAATTGTTATTCAGAGTAAATACAAAAGTTTCATTTCTAACATTTGTGTAATGCAATCGTCTACATAACATTTTCTCATATAGCGACTCTTTATATTACTTTATATTAATATAGTGCCAATTCATAATTAACATAGGCACTGCTTTTGTTATCATAATACTGGTTTATATTAGTATAGCATTATCTTATATTAACATAGTAATAGTTTATATTATCGTACTACTATCGTAAAAGAAATAGATCCGCAAAGACCGTCACAATATCCAAGACCATGCGTTATATTACCACCCAAGGGGTTCATAAAAATAAGAAAAGACATAAAAACAAGAACTTACTTTCACAATGTACGGATGGATTATCATCGAGCCGTTTACGACAGACGTTGCAGAATTTTCTTCTACGAGTTACCGGTTCGGACCAACAGTGTGCAACCGGGTTCTGCAACAAAGTAATTGTCATTTAGTTTAAATAAATCTCAAGTAAACCTTAACAATCATTTTCAATTTTCAATTTTTATTTTTAAATAAGGTGAAGTGGGTTAAGTTCGTAAACAGGGCAAGTGCGTATACAGGCTATTTGTATTACAATATGAGCGAAATTTCTCCATTTAATATGTTTGTTTCCTTGTTTTGTTTCACTATATCACCTTTTATATTTCAGCTAAGGGTACTTGTTTGCAGTATAGAGTACTTGCATAATGCAGTAAAAAGCATTTTATAGCAGATTTGTTAATAATTTTGCTGTTGCCCCATTGCACATGAAATCAAGTTTCAAAGTATTTAACTTCAAATTACGCTCTTACCCCATTTTCGGGGAAAGTGCAGAATAGTTGACATTTTAAACAATTTCCTATCAAAATCAAAATGTATAAGGAAAATTAAGGTCCTAGTTAATTAAATAGTAGTAATTGTGCAAAGCGTTCGATATCAACAGCGTTAAGTATTTCCATAGCAGATTGAAAATACTTACGTTTAAGTACAAACTTTACAAAAACCAGTCTGCACTTACCCCACTTCACCTTAATATATTTTTAAATTGTTAATACTTAATAACTGTAATAAAATGAAATAAAAATTTTTACAATTGTCTCTTTGCAAGTAACCTAAGAATTAATCGTATAAATTAATCGTGTAAATTTGTTAATCGTATAATTCTGCCTCCACGCCGTTAAACTGTGAACCATCAAGACCGAATAAAACTTGAAGCCTAAACACGTGAAAATTTCTTTGAAGCAAAGATGATGTTACACGACGATAGTTAACTCACGATTCGGAGTATAAGCGAGAGCTCTAATTCTAACTTTGCGAGTTTGTAGCTGAGAGGAAGGAAAAAGTATAAAACGCTACGAATGTGTACATTGAGATTGTTGTAAAATTTCAACGCGATCCAAGATACCGTTCAAGCAAGTATTCTCAGCACCTCGTAAATATAGGTCACGAGGAAGGATTCGCTCATCTCCGGTCGTACAAAAGGTGCAAGAACGGAAATTGAAGGTATCCTTACCTTAATGAGGCTTGCCGCGATGCTAGAGCAGGGAGAGACGACGGATTTGAGACACCGGTCGTGCACCACGTAGTTACAAACTGCAACAAAAAAGTACAGTTCTATGTTATTCATTGGAAATAGGGTTTCTTGTGCTAGGCTGGTGCCTACAATTCCTGGGTTATTTCTAGGTATTCCTAGGTTACGTTTAGGTAGATACAGTTGAACTTTACATTGCTTCTCTGCAGAGTTTGAATAACGTGTAAACAGCGAAACAATGCGTGACAATGCTGTTCTTTACGCGAGTACATTGGAATGAAGTTCTTGATGATTAAACTATCATTTTTCCCAAAGATATGATACATGTACTTTAACTTTGATAATTTACTTTTTTAGAAAATTCATAAAATATGTAATTTCCAAATGTTTAGGATATCCGAATGTGGAAGGTGCAGATCATGTATTAATGCAAAGAGGTGACCATGGTGGTGGCTAAACTACTCAGAACCTTTTATTTACATGTAATGTATTTTAGTGGGATTTAATACTCTTATAACAAGTGGTGAAGGCAAAAAAAGTGCGAATCAAAACATATGAAAGTGATCATTCAATTGAAACGGTGAGCGAGTGAGCCAGTAGAGTGAGCCACTGTGGTGCTATGTAATCTACGATGATATTCGCGAAAGCCACTATAGTGGTGGGTCGTGCATAAGAGGTTAAAATTTCTGAATACCCATATTCGTAGATCTTCACATGCCAAAGTGTCCATATTCCAAGATTTCTAAATTTCTAAATCGCCAAATGTTAAGATTCATACATATATTTACATCTTTAAATACTTTGATCCTTAAATTCTTATATCATGAATTTCCTAGGAAGCTAAACTTGATTTATAAATTTTTAAGTTATCGAATCCTTAGATTCCCACATTTCTAAATCTCTAAACAGATATTTCTTGAAGATCCTTATTAACTTTTCAGGCCTTCAAATCCCTAGATTCCCATAAACTGAGACCCTCAAATACTCTTCAAGTTTTTTATATCTTCACCTATTTAGACTTCTATATCGCTGGATTCACAGAAAAGACCCAGAATCTCAAAATTCCCATATTTATACACTTCTATATGCCAAACATCCTAAATGTCAGAGTCACTGAATTAATATAACCTAGTAATTTATTTATCCTTAATTTTTAATTCTTCAAAAATAATTGATTTAAATTTAAAAAATTTTCAAAATAACTCAGTTAAAATTTTTTAATTTTCAAAATGGTTAATAAAAAGTTAGCAGAAACAACAAAATAGTACAATAGAAATACTTGTTCTCCTTTTTTTAAATCGATAATGGAGTCATTAATTATACATTGTTAACAATAACAATTTGAATGACCAATCGTTCAGTAATAATGCCGTTACACATTGTCGATTACAGTTTCTTTTATTTATTGTATTGCAAAATGCAAGTATACTAAAAATCTATAACAGCAGTGCTGAATTTCTTGGGAACCGCTAAATGCTAAACACGTTTCATTATAGGAAGGTATATAAACATCTTCTTTTATATTTCTCCAATTTAACTTCACTACAATTTCTTCACTAACACAATTTTTAACGCTACAATTTCAATTACAACAATAACTATGTACAACATTATTCAACTTCTAGAGTGTAGAGTGTAGATTCTAGAGGACGAATATACCCTCTTTTAAAACTTCAGTCAAATGCTCAAATCCTTGTTAACATATTTATACATTGTATTTAGATATTTGTATAAACAAAAATTTAAAAAGAATGAATATCATTGTCTTCTCAAGAAAATATTAATCTGCTTAAAATTAAACTGACGTTAAAATTCTTCATATGTACATAGTTGCACATGAAAATGTCCCGAAAAGAGTTAAATTTACTCTAAAAATATTTCCCAAATCAGACAATATAATGATCTTGAAATTTCACGCAGAAATTCGTGTTTTCGCGCAATTGCACAAAATAGGGTGACATTTCGTTGATATTTGGATGGATAAAAATATCGGGAGATCGAAGGACCGTAGACAGGATGAACGTCATCAATTTACAGTCGCCAGTGTAGAACAAATAATTGCAGTTTACTGCAATTTAAATGATTGGGCGATTGCCAAAAACCTTGATACATTTTGAACAAATAGTATTCAATTCCTGTTACAATGCATGTCCATTGTGTCGGATATAGCTTTATTGCATTCAGTTGCAAAAAAGGTCTCGGCTTTCATTTAAAAGCAAAGAGCCTTTCATTTTGTTTGAAAATGCACGTTTTAATTATTAAAATCGACAAAATTGACATTCAAATAAATAGCGAGAATTTTAATAAATTATGCGAATGATACAAAATTTGTTGTTAAGGTGAAATGATTTGTGAGGTTAGGTTTGACCTATTGGTAAAACTTGGCGCGTTGCCTAAACTAGGTTGATAATGATGACGATGGTAATCTATCATTATAGAATTTCATGCCGACAAAATGAACATTGGAAAACGATGAAATTATGCTAAGTTTGTTTAATGAATAATCGCACATTTTGACATTAATGAACCCATTACAGTTTAACGAAAATTATGAACACTTGTCACTATTCAAGATTTCACGAACTCGTACACAATTATACTTTTTTATATAAAATAAATAATTAATAGATTTACTAAATTTTCATAACTTATTCGTTATTTGTTTATACCGTTTATTATTTGAGTAGATTTAATTACAGCAAACTTCTTAATTAAAATTAGTTAAAGTTATTAATTGCAGTTTCAATTATTTCACTAGATTTAATTACTTTCATTATTTAATCAAAATAAACTCTTTAATTAGAAATTAAAAACTACAGAGTATATTAACTATAACATTAATATTTTGACAATTTTTTATCATTTCTAGAATTGTATTCACAAATTTATTTAATTGTTACATAATTTATAAGAAGCAAAATTAACTATAACATAGTTATTAATAAATTTAACTTAACTTGTAAGATTTTAAATTTTATTCGCAAATGTATTTAATTACTATGATAAAAATTCGTAAATACCAGATTAGGTAAAAAATTTTAATTTGCACAGCTTTTTTAATTGGAGAGAAAGTATATTTATTACATCGCAAACAGTGTTCGTGAAAAATAATGAAGAACGTTTAATGCAATCAATTAGTAAATGAAATGTATCAAATGCTCGTTAATTAAGCAGTATCGAGAAATTTATTTTACTCGTTTGAAACCCTTGAATCAGAGCGTGAAATTTTGTGCCGCTTTTATACCAAACAGGGACTAAGAATATAAATACACTAAATAGTTAAATATCGGCATACGAAGTATAATGTCAAATAAAATGGTAACCTTATGAGCATTTATTCGGAGCAGCAAATATGGATATTGGAAGGTTATAAATTTATAACATTTAAAAGACGTGAATTTATAAATTGGAATATTTATAACTTTCAAAATTTATTCCACACATTTGTGATATTGAAAACTTGAAAAATTTGTAGTTTCTGCATCTCTGAATTTATAAATTTGGAAATCGCTGCTGATTTTTTAAGCAGAAGTTTTGAGAAGTTTTAAATTCTCAAATTTGAAAGTTTGTAGATTTGCAGAGACGTGAATTTGACAATTTAGAAATTTTAAAGTATACGGATTTATCTATTTGAAAATTTATAAATTTAACAATTAATTTAAAAAATTTGAAATAATTTAAATTCATACAGCTGCAAAATAAATTTATAAATTTTCGTGGATTTGTAAAGTTGAGAATTTTTTAGCTTGTGAAATTTGAAAATTTATAGTTTTATAAATTCGAAAATTTAGATTTGTAAATTTGAAAATTTTCACATTAAAAAATATTTAATTTAAGAAATTTCCAAATTAGAAAGTTAGTAAGTTTGTTAATTTAGTAAATTAGAAAGTCAATAAATTCAAAAACTTAATAAATTATAATATTAGTAAGTTTAAAAATTTTCCCATTAAAAAATTAATGAGTTTGAAAATTTCTAAATGTAACAAAATTTTACGTTGAAAATTTATTGACACAAAAACTAAACAAGTTTCTAAAATGTATTCCATTTATCCACTCGTATCATTGGCACTATTTATCACCATTATTATCACTAGAAATCACTATATTCTTTATAGAATATAGTTCTTGATACGTATTTGGTATTTTTATTGTAATATATCAGATATTATAACATAGTCGAATATGCTTTACGATATGCGTTCATTTTACAATATACAAAACGAATTTCTGTATTTTTATATTTCTTAATATTTTTTTACATTTCTTAATATTCTCGCACATAATCCATAAATTTTCAAGTGCTTTGTACTCGACGTTCATCCGAGTTATTGTTAACTTTATCGTTGCCTCCACTTTGCCGTTATTTCTGACACGAGTATCGATTTATTGACCCTTAATATGTTATTTACGAACCCTTTAGTTTCCACTAATATTAATAGCAAATACAAGTTGCAAAACCTTTTAGAACGTATAACCGATCCCATCCATACATAAATTTTAAAACATACAGAAATGTAATGTTACAAAAAATTAATTCGATGAAATAATTTATACTTGTTATTACGAAACGCTTATGTTTATTATCACGGAAATATCGTGTAAACACATGTTGCTATAAAATATAAAGAAAATTATGTTACAAATAAATTCATAACTTACATAACCAATTTTTTCATTTTTTTGTTCTACTTTTTGTTACACATTTGTTCGTAACGAATTTCGTAACATCTTTGAGGTTAGCATTTGCGTCATCCGTGCAAATGACCGGCACGGGTTTGACGTACGAATACGTCATACTTGGGAATGGCCAAAACGGGTTTGACGTAATAATACGTCATCCGTTCCGAACTAGTTAGGCATCCTAAAAATACTGTTTACATTTGGCTCAGATACAAGATCACCTAAATCAATCAATCTGAAATCTAAAAGATCGATCAAATTCGAGTTCTAAAATGTTTGATAGCTCCACTGATGTTAAACATATAGCTACAAAATTTTTGAGATTTCTTAAAAATATTATTTAAAAGTTTCTTAAAAAGATTCTTAAGAACATTATTTTTTG